CTCCTTGGTTGTTGAGCATCGTTCCTTCTGCTCTCAATGGGAATGAAGGCTGTAGGTGGCTGTGTGATCGTGCAGCTGAGGAGTATTGGGATGGTGCCTTGCACAAACTCTTGAATCCTTGACTTTGAAATCTCCCTGCTCTTCTGGCAGAATGTAAACCATACATGTTTGTGTACAGATTAATCAAGTCTTGCTTCAACTGCATTTAACCTATCTTCTGAACTGGGTTCCTCAGAAAAATCTGAGTTCACATGTACTTATTATTATTAAAAGTCAAGTGTGTTCCCATAGAGTCCATTGGAAGTACTTAGTGTGAAGGAGATGGAACAGCAGCATCGTTTCACAGAACAGTTCTGCTCTATCACTGTTTTAATTAAAGTCATTCTACTGATGGAAAGTCTATTCTCTGGTGTTTTCTTTAATGTAGTCATAATGCATCAGTTTGAGCTCCCTTGCTGGAACATCTTTCATTATAATCCACTTAGCTAAGTTTAATTATAAACTTCTAAATTCGAACCTGCTTTTGTTACTTTTTTAGGAGATACTAAGACTGAAGCAGGGAAGCGGGGTTCATGGTTTTTGCCCCAAACAAATCGGTGTGAGTCAAGAAGCGATTCACTGGCAGTACAGTAATTTCATATTCTTGCTTTTAATTCCCAGGATCTTTGATAGCTTTGGGACAAGAAGTGGATACAATTGAATAGAAGAAAAAAGATGAAATAACGAATAGATTTTTCCTATTTGACTATAGACATCACCAAAATACCTGAACTTTCAAATATAACTTGTAAGGATGGTGACTACCTACTGAGCTTTCCAGCAACTGAGCACTGAGGAAGGTTGTTTAAGGTTTATACATGAAAATGGACCAGGGTAAATTTATGTTCAGCTTTGCTCATCTGGAGGTCGTGCGGGCTTACTCCCAGCCTGGAGCAAGCTGGTTTAGACCGTCTGCTGGTTGTTTGGCATTATCTTGCATGTCCAGATGTGTTAACACCAGATGTTCTTTCAGGTGTTATTTACCTTTACAGTTACTGTAGCAAATTACCAAAGAATTGTGGAACTTAATGTTTTGAAACCTGATGAGTGACCACTTACGACAAAAATACTGTCAGGCAGTTGTCAACCTGATGTATAAATTTGGCTCACTCATGCTGTGTGGTTTTACACAGGATTTTCTAAAATGCTCCTGGAAGACGAGTAAATATTATCAATTAAGGTTTGGAGATGAAGAAGTAGAGGTATAGAAAATCAAGCGCCGTTCTCTTATATGCAAAGTCACTGCTCAAATCAAGTATTAGTGTTGGAGCATGACCTAAAGTGACTTTTTGCACAGGAGGTTTGTGACACAGCTGGACATGAAATGAATTTAGGGTGCCCTTACTTTAACTAGAAGACTATCTCTCTCTCAAATATGTAAGTGGAAGAATGTATAGTGTTAGTTTTCCACATGGTATTAAAGGCAATTTAGTGTAACTGTGTTCATCATTAAATAAAAAATCGGGCAGTACGCACAAAGAGTTGTGTCATGGGCACATATACACTTGTTCTGAAGGTCTGGTTCTAGTTTGATGCATGTGACTGTGCAAACACTTTTACTTTATTAAACTCAATACCTGTAGCACTAGCATTAGTGTTGTTTTGGAAATATCTCCCCCAGGGATGGTCTGCAGTGCGTATCTGGTAATCAGCCATGGCTGCTACAGGCCAGGCATTCTGATGCTTTAGGACTGAATAGAATGAGCTTTTTGGATAACAGCTTTCTGAGAAAGCAACGCAGATTTTACTGGTATCTGAGGATAAAAAGTATGCTATAAACATCCAGATTATCTTGGAATTTCACAAGCAATGGGTTTGTGCTGTGTGTAGTAGGCAAACAGTTGCATAATTACTGCTTACGTTTGTGTTAAGAAAATTTATTCATGATTAATGATGCTTATCTTTGTGCTAGACACCTGCCAAACGATTTATAGCCATGTGTATGATCTGCAATTGCTTTTTTTTGTTGTTGCTATTTAAAGTGTTTGGGATTATTCTAATTGCATCATGTATTTCAAATGGAGAGTGCTACCCAGGTGTCCTTGTCAGCATTCCTGTCTCATAGAAAAAAAAGTAGGTCAGATTTACCCATGATGGGAAAGGTCACAACTCCCAGTGAACTCTGGGGGAATTTAATTGATGTATGACAAGGCTGAAATTATGTCTCAGGTTTGGATCAGTTTAAGATGGTCTTTTTCTAAATTCAGTAATAAATACTGTATAAATCCACATTGGAGCAGAGCCAGACTGAATCTTCCTAAACCACAGAAATGGTGCAGAATGACTGAAGAAACCTCTTGTCCCATGGAAACTTGCAGAAAGAGCAAATGGTCCCTTCTCTAACCGTGCAATGTGTGTAGAGTGGGGAGTCAAGACTGGACCATCAATCTTTTGCCTTTTAGTCTTGGATGCTTTTGAGGACTCTAATGTGTCTTGGACTAGCCCAGTACCTCTCACTTGGAAATGTCTGCCTCTGAGTGCTCAGCAGTGGCTGGAAAAGGGGAGAAGTTTCCCAGAGCATTTTCCCCCTCCCTAGCTAAATGGGTTAGGCTGGGATTTGCCTGCTGGATATTTCATTGATGTTGAAAATGAAATTAAATTTTGAACACCTCAGAAATAAGAAGTAGTGTGTTCACCTGGGCTGGATGCCAGGTCCCGCCAAAGCTGCTCTGTCGCTCCCCTCCTCAGGTGCACAGGGGAGAGAAAATACAACGGCAGGTTCATGAATTGAGATAGGGACAGGGCGGGATCACTCAGCGATTAGCATCATGGGCAAAACAGAATCAACTGGGGGCAATTAGTTTATTGTCAAAAGTCAGAGTAGGGTAATGAGAAATAAAACTCAATCTTAAAAAACCACCTTCCCC